GCTGAAAGGTTGCAGGAGCATTTTTTAAACCGTATGGCATGCGACAAAATTCAAAATGATCTGATTGGGTGGAGAAAGCGGTTTTTGCTGATCATTGGGGTTCATAGGAATTTGATGGAAACCTGAAGCAAGGTCTAAAGTAGAAAAATATTTTGAACTCCCCAACTGATCCAAGATGTCAGTGATATTGGGCAGAGGATATGAATCACCGACAGTAGCATCATTCAATTTCTATAATCTATAACAAGTCTCCACTTAACTTCATTATTATCAGACTTTTTATGAACAACTAATAAAGGCGCATTCCACGGACTACTGCTACGTTCTATGATTCCATCATTCAACATTTCATTAATTTGTTTATTAATTTCGCTTTTCTGTGATTCTGGAATTCTGTATGGCTTAACGTTAATAGGCGCGATTTCTGATGGAGTGTTAATATTGTGAAAAACCTGAGTGGTAAACGGAAGTGTATCTCCACTTACATAAAAATAAATCATTAAATTCTGTACAAATGTTCTCAAGAGCTTTTCTCTCTTCTAAATTTAAATGGGATAACTTTAAACTATCCAAAATTAATCTTAATCTATCTGATTTATTATTACTAATAAACGTTGAAGCGACTGTACATTCAGGAGTATTCGAACTTATATTATTAAAAATGTCTAATTTTTCTACATTAAAAGTTGGTAATTTTAGCTTAACCGAATGTTCATTTGAGTTTATAATATTAACAAAACAATTAGAATTTGAAGGGAAAACCAATGTGCTTGCTATAAAAAATCTTTTTGTACTCTACTTTTTCTATTACTCCTACTGAGTCACTATTAGTGCCTACTTGAACAATGGTTTCTGACCTAGGGTTTAAATTTACAAACGAGAATTTTAAGGGTAATGTGGTATTGTTACAAAAATTTAATTTAGAATCTACTATGTTGATTGAACCACCAAAAGTTTTTAAAAAATCCATACCTAAAATTCCTTCGCTCTTAATAGGAAGATCGTCCTTAACTATATGAAAAACATGTTTAATTATTTTATTTCCTAATCTAATCCTAAATAACGCCTTGCCTAAAGTTTGTACATTTTTTCCTGATACTCCTGTTAAATTTAATTTATCCTCTAATTTATGACTTATCTCTAATTCATCACTTATCAACGAAACCTTGACTAAACTAACTTCTGCTCCAGTATCAACGAGTAAATTAATCCTATCTCTAACTGTGTCTAATGATTCTATATTTACAAATGCTAAATTATTTGATGTTTTTTCTATACAAGATAGATGAGCTTGCTTTCATTCGCTACCCTTACTAGTTCCGGGTTCTGGATCCCTCTATATACTATCTTTTGTACCTTTAGCTTTTTGTTGTTCTTTAAATATTCGTTTCCTACAATCCCTAATTTGGTGACCAAACTTTTTGCAATAATTGCACATTAATTCAGGTTTTATTCTATATGATGAAGGAAATGGATTTATGGAAGGACCAGGTTTTGAATATTGAAGTCTAAATGAATTTGCTAAGGTTTCTTCCTCGATAGCGATTTCCCTAGCCTCCTTTAAAGTTTTTGCACTCTTACAATTAAATATCATTTTAAGAGAGGGTTGTAGCCCTTCTTGGAAAATATTTAATGCTTGCTCTTGTAGCAGTTCATTGCAATAATTATTATAAGTTGAGCTTTTGTGCTTTTTAATAGTAGCATCTACTAGTTTCATTAAAATGATTCTAATCTTTGACCGTAATCGATAACACTCTCATTATAGCCTTGCCTACACTGATTAAATTCTACCTGAAGGGCAGAAATTGATCTACGATCTAAAAATAAGCTTTCAAGGGTAGACTTAAGGTCTTCAAAATCTGAAAATTCTTTATACTGGATAGCTTGTAACGCTCTGCCTTCGATTACTAGTATAAAATTATTAGTAATATAATTTAATAAACTAGACTTATCTGATTCGTCAATGTCACCAAAAGCAAAGGTACAAATTCTAATGAAAGATGAAAGTTGGCTTTGATCGCTGCCATCAAAAGATTTAATCATACCCCTAGCTTCAGCAAGTGACATACGAGCCATGTTTGGAATATTTGTATTAAGATGAATAGAAGGAAGAGAATTAAAATTTTGGGACAATTGAGGAATATGCGAAATAGTAATTCGATTGCCAAAAACTGAGTCTAAAAGATTAAGTGTATTTGGCTCACCTCCTTCCAAATGGTATTCCAGATAATTACTGAAAATAGATTCCTCTGATCTGCTGTGGTAACCTCAAATTATCAGGTGCTCTTTCACTCGACATTAAAACCTATATAATTCATAAACAGCATTAATTGAAAGTAAATATAGCAGATATTAATGTAATAAAATATATAATAAAATGATGGGATTTAATTTAACACAATTGAAACATGAATTAAAATTAAAAATATTATTGTTTGAGAGAAAGAAAAAAAAATTATAATATCAAAGCTAAAAATTATATAATGTTATCAAAAGATTTTCTAAAATTTGAGCATAAAAAATAACACATTTAATGTTAGCAAAAATAAAATAAAATTCTAAAATATAATAACTATAAAATTTAATTTCAAAAATAATGTTTTTAAATTATATCCTAAAATTTCTGTTGATATATATTCTAAAATTTTCTGTTCTAAAATGTTCTGTTGATATATATATTCTAAAATTTTCTGTTCTAAAATGTTCTGTTAATATATATTCTAAAATTTTCTGTTCTAAAATGTTCAGTTGATATATATTCTAAAATTTTCTGCAATAAAATAAATATTCTAAAATTTTCTGCTATAAAATGATTATTCTAAAATTTTCTGTTATAAAATTGGTGTTCTAAAATTTTCTGTTATAAAATAATTATTCTAAAATTTTCTGTATAAAAATAAATATTCTAAAATTTTCTGTTCTATAAGGTTAATTAAAATTTACTTATTCTAAATTTGGCATCTATAATAATCTCAGTTTTGGGTTTATACAACTTTAAGCGTCCTTTCCAAGCGTTCTTCAAGATGGCGACCTCAAAGATAGATACTGCGACGGCGTCGTAGTCCTATCGTGGCGTCGTTTTTAAGAAAACGATTTTACCGACGATTTTTTGAATCCATGTTGTATAGATCGTTCTGAATTTGGTTATTGTACTCACAGGCCAATTTATTTTTCTTCTGACAGGATGAATCCAACTTCTGACACCAAAATGTTGTAATTTTATAATAAACTCATTATATCATATAGAACAAGTTGTATAGAATTGTAATAAACCATATATTGAAACTGTGCGAGTTCTCATTAGCGAAGTTTACAATTGCAACACATCTCACGGTTGTGAAATGTCAGTTCAATGTAATTACATACTATATATTAAAATTAAATTTGACAGATTATTATTTTTTAACTAAACATTAAAGATAAATTAAAAAAGCTTTGTTTGCTAATATCTTCAGAAATATACATTTTATCGAAAATAATGAAATGAATAAATAAAAATTATATAAATTAAAATCTTAATCCACTGGGCGTATCTACTAATTTGTAAACAATCAATTGTAAACAACTTGTCAGCATTCTCTGCTAAATGTTATTATTTTCATAGATTGCAGAATGAAAAAAAAAATAAAAAAAAAATCTAATAAATTGCTGTTTTATAGTGTTCTAGGAGCAATATTAGGCTAGATACGAAAATTGGGGTTTTACGGTAATAAATAAGCTTTAAAATGAGTACTTCTTCGTGTAAAATGAGTGAGCTATCATGCTAATAAAAGACAACTACAATGTTTTTTTTCATTAAAAACAAATCAGTTATGAGTACCATTTCCACCAAAATTAAAAATAATAGTATTCCATCTAGAATTAACTTGGTTTAAGAGATCTTGATGGATTCTAGAAAATGCCATAACTTTAGTGCAAACGATTTTCAAAAAATCATGATTCGTGAAAAAAAATCCATGAAGAAAACAACAGATTCCTCATTATTATATCTCTGAAATTCAATGTCTTTTTCTGACTAATTATTGCTTTTTATTATTGTTTTGTTACACAAATATTGATAGAGTTGTAATTGTTTAGAGTGCGCGGCTGCAAACCAGAATGTCTTTCGAGCCCTTTAACTCTTCGCCGATCAAAATAAGAGAAGTTACGGTAAAATTTATGATAGAGAAAGTTGTAAGTCATTTAATTACCTTTAAAATAGTATATTACAAGTTCTGATAAAATTAAAGAATTGTAATCTAATTAATGCCGGGGGTGGTGAAGGAGTGCAATTGTTTTCACTTCCGAACTTAAGATTAAGATTAGCCCATTTCCAAAATATCAAGAAAATTGGAGCACAGTAAAAAAAATCGCTGGGCACACGCTTTTTCCTCTCCATTTTTGTTGATCGTAGGTTGAATAGAGCATGTGAACAGGATTCGACAAATTAATTCACTTCAAATATGAACTTAAGTAATAATGTATATTCATTGTTAGTGAGAAAAATCTAATTTAGATATTAAAATTACTAAAAGCCAGTTAAAATATGGTACGAAATTATAAAAATTATAGGTAACATTATTGAAGCAATTATTTTGGGTATAAAATTCAAGGTGATATTGTACCTATACCGCGAATGCTATATATTAATGCTTTCTGAATTGTTATACCCTTTAAAAGACCTCAATTTCCAATACGTAGATCTTATGCTATAATCACAAAAAATAACCTGTCAATTGAATATATAAGTTCTATGCGTATAATCACTAACAGTCTACAACCGTCAAAGGGGGCAATACATAAAAAACACCATTTAATCAGTTCTGCGTTTCGCCAATACAAATAAAATCATTTTAATTGGACGCTTGATTCTCTCAAAAACTGAATAACGATTTTTGGCACTTTTTGTCCTGTATTTTCGAAACGCTTAAGACCTACCTTTGCCAAAAACTTATTAGTACATCGCCTCATTATTACATATTACTACAGGAAATTAATAAATCTGTGTATTTTAATTGCAGTGCCTTCAAATTCATTCCGAGGACGCGGAGGACGTGGGAATAAGCCATTCGAAATCGCAATATTCTTTCAGATCGACCTTCAGTAGTTCTTTTTAGAATACTTACTCTGATATGAAACAATATGGCGCCAAAGCTCCATTTGAAGATTTTAGAAAATAAGCAATTTTAATGGTTCAACTAAATTCTCTAATTGCCACAAAGATTTTTATGAAAGATATTAATTTGAGAATGTGATATAAAGCAAATTTTAAGTGAATGCAATTGAGTGGATACAATAACTTAATAAGGATTGACTAGCTTATTGATTATTCAAATAATGCAACATGAAGACTTGACAAAGTTCAGTTTATTTTGGACAATTATGTGAAAAAAGTATATGAAGATTATTTACATACTTTTGTTTTTACACAACCAGATGAGAGGATGTAATGGGTTTGCATCTTTTTGAAGAGAATAATCAAATATGAAAAGTTTGAAAACTTATGCACAGAAGATGCAAAGTAATTACAGGTGTTTGCAGATGACATATAATCTTTGCATGTCCACTAAAGAAAAGCAGATGTGGCACTAAGTTTTTATACATTTTGCAATGTCAAAATTTTGTGTGTTAACATTTATTCTCTTGTACAGATGTATTTACTTCGAGTTTTCAACTAAAAGGACACACACACACACCACACACACACATATATATATATATATATATATATATGTAATGAATTAGTATCTATAAAAATTAACAGATTGAGATTTTTTTCAGGTGCAAGTCAAGCTGTAACCTACGATACATATATCTGTGGCTTTAAACATCCAAATGAAAAGATGCTTCTTTGTCGGTTACTTTCATAATTCATTACAATGTGCTTAATTCTACTTATTTTAACCTTCATACCACTTTTCTTTTTGGAATGCTTTCATAATAACTCAAGAATTATTAAATTTGAACAATTATTTATTGCGAAATAAGTTTCTACATTTATTTCAGTGCTATGTGGCATTGGAAATGTTGGTGCTTGTGAATGTCTCTAATCAAATGGATATATGTGCATATTTTGAAAATCTTCAAATCAACATTAATTTTTTTATCTGTCAAACTTTTAACATCTGCCCTACTTCAAATGATTCGGTTGTAGTATCCACAGTTCTCACGGTTTGCAGCTTACAAAAAATTCTCTGAAATTCATACGTTTAATGATTTTTTATCCTATAATCAATACTTGTGAAAGAGTACCAATATTCAATATCAAGCTAGTTATATTGCATTGTCATAGTGAGTTTTCCTGTATATTTCGATTTGTGTCATTCATCCTCAGAATCCATGTAATGTATTTTGTGTTTTTTTGAACTTTTTTTCTATTTATATTACTTTT